CACAGATCCCAGAACTCACAGATCTACCCTCTGCTTTCTCCAAGAGGTTGAGTTGGATCAGCTCTGGGAATCTAGCTTACATCTAGAGCCACCTGGTTAAGCAGCCCAGATGTCTTCCAGCATTCCCCAAAGCCCAGGACACCCAAGCTGGTATGGGCCCTCGGGATGGTCTCCTGCCTCATGCACTGTGCTCCCACTCACACTGGAAGGAAGGAGGCAGAGAGCACTCACGGCTACCACTGGAAGCTGTGGCTGTGAACAGCATGGCCTCAGCATCTCCATCTGTAAAATGGGTGATGGACTAGAGGAGAGTTCTTGATATGCCCTAGGAAGTAGTGTTCCAAATGTATCTTACTCTCGCAAGCCTAAATGCATGGTAGCTCATATATGCAAAATAAGATTCTTATAGGATTGGAAGCAATTAAAGTTTATTTTTAACAAAAGCTCCAACAAGCAAAAGTGTGTCAAGAAAAAATAGAGATGTATACTGACTCTATAATACAGACAATTATAGGACATCTGGCCCTTGACCACTTTGCACCTAGTAAATCATTCCCCTCCCACCCCATGGCTTAGCACATTTACCAAAAAAAAAAAAAAAAAAAAAAAGTTCACAGTGGAAGATTTCACAAACCACCTCTGAATGTGTGGCTCAGTCATTCATGTCCCCAACACAACTTACACAACCCCAGCTGGCATCTTCGTCAGCTGCACTCCCCTGCTTAGAGAATGGCTCTGTGGTAGCACAGCTTGAGAGAGGCAGCTGGCTCCTCCTTACAGCCATGCTAGTCACTTCCTCCTCCTGGCAGCACTGTGGTTGGAGCCAGCTCGGCCTCAGAACCTGCTCATCCCAACAGAAAGCGCTCAGAGCTACGCCTCCCATCACAGGTGTTAGCCTATAATACCCATTCATTAGCGCAAAATCCCTCTGGTTAAACTAATAACTTAAACCACTTTGCTTAAGAGTAACAAAGGAAAGATATGCTTAAAGCTTTCTCAAGTTGCATTACACAAAGCATACTTTATAATCCAGTCCTTGTAAAGGGACGACATAAGTCATGGCCATGTCCGGATAAATGTGTCTGCAGAGACTGTCCCATGTAAGGAGTGGCAGGCAGGGTAGTTGGGACTGGAAGCACTGCATATGTGTTTGGGATAGGCCTGGGAAGTTGGAAGGATCTGGTCAGTCAGAACCAGCACCAGCCTTTCAGCCCTGAGCCAGGCCTGCCTCTTGGTCTCACATTCCAGCGCTCTCTGAGGCCAATGCCAACCCTTGCTAGAGAAGGAAGGAAAAACAAGCTGCCATTTGAACATTCATTCAGGCTCCCTGGCTTCAGCCCAGAGGAGAAAAAGGGAAGACAGGGTCATGGTCTCTCAGACCACCCTGACCTCCACTGACCCCAGCCTGCCTTTCCCTCCCTTCTTTTTTTTTTTTTTCTAAGGACTCAGTTGGGAACTTTTTCTCAGTTTCTCTTCCAGGGCCACCTTCCCTTCTTTTTACAGGATTCCTAACAAGCCAAAGAACTCACAGTAGTCCAAGCCAGGAGGTTTCACATTATGCTCTGAAGGTCCTGGGGTGGAGGCAGAGGGGTTGGTTGGCAAGTGGCACAAAGCTGTCTGTGCAGGTGGATGACTGAAAACTTCTCAGCTGCCGCACTACAAGTTCTTTGCAGCAGCTGTACTGCATATTACCAACCTGTATTGGAGTAGAGTGGCCATCTTGAAGCTAAACCATCGTACATTCTAAGAAATTGGCCATTGAGTGCCAAAATGTTAGCATGAAGCAAGTTCAGGAAGGTCCAACCACCTAACTAAGGACCACTAACCCTACCATCTCAGGGACATCCATCTTCAACCTCAGTAAAATTGTCACTAATCTATGCATTCCATCCTAACCTATCTGTTCTGAGGGATTCTGACACACTCCTCTCCCCATGCCTCCCCCCGACAGCCCCAGTGCTTGCCTCATGGTACCCCAGAATCTGGTACCATACTCATACAAATGTGAAGTGTGAAGGAGTTTAGAATTTATGCTCCCCAGTATTAAGCTCAGGGTTGCTTCCTCTTAAGCTGGACATCCCCTTAACTCCCTCACAGTCTTCTTGGCTACAAGGGCTGCCATTGAGATACAGTTTCTCTCACTCTCAGAGACCACCCTCATTGGTCCACTGAAGGGAACACACGTTCCAAGTGCACAGAGCATGGCCTAGCCTTTGGGTAGACTCTTTCCAGGGTTATGGCCAGTACATTTTCCAGAGGATACAAGGGCGAAGGGTATCCCTTTGGGTTCAGAGTGCATCAGCTAAAGGGACAAAACACAGAGCCTGGTTTGGGGCAAAGTTGATGTCTACCTGTGCTTTCTTTAGCAGATCAGATATAGGAGCACACCAGTCGGGCATGAGCCTCTCCAACTCTAAGGTGATGATGACCAAGGCCAGTGTGGAGCCCTTGAACTGCAGCAGCTGGTGGCCCGCCATACAGTGCTGCAGCTGCCTGGTCAGGGATGCGACGTGGAGGGAAGGATTCCTCTGAGGCAGCAGCTCCAACACATGGGGCCAGCTCAGGACCACCAGGGCATGAAACTGGAGACCATGGTTTTTAATGTTAGAACAGAAAACCCCATACGTTTCATATACCAATGACCCAAAGTGCAAACAATTTAAATTTCCATTAGGGAACATCAAATGTTGCCCAACACTTTTCATTCCTATCCATGGGCCCATAAGGGGCTTGAGGCTTAATGCCCATTCTGTGGCCAAGCTGAGCTTTGACTCCAGAGAGAAAAGAAAGTCTGCTTTCTGACAAGGCCATTATGAGTGGAGAGTACCTAGATGACAATGTTTCCATTCTGAAAAATAGAAACATACTATTCAAGATGAAGTTACTGGTATCTGCTTATGATAAGAAGAAACTCTGCAACTTGGCAACAGTGGCCAGTTTTCATAAAGAAACCGCCCTTAGTAATTTAATCTTCATGTTTCATAACAAACCAAAATCCCATGACATTTCCACATTGCATAATTTTGCCTTACTAACAGAATCACATCCTTAAGGATGACCATCATTGCCCCAACTAAAACAAATACAAACTAATGTATGATATTTTTTTAAGTGCCAGATCAATATGGTCTAAAGCCTCAACAAGGATTGTGTGTAGGTGAATAAAGACAGCTAAGTGAATGTGTGTAAAGTGTAGCAAAAGCAGACAGATATTTATGTATTCATAGAATGGAAAGTTAAATATTTTTGCAGTGTGTATTTAAAAGAGAAACTCACCATAATAGTGCCGTCTAAAAATCTTTGTAAAGTTAATTTAATGTCCTTTAGAAGTGGGAGTCTGGTGGAACTGTGTTGGATTTAAGATACCTTTTTACTCTTCCGTATGTCACAAGCCTCGTGGGTCACCTCACTGTGGTGCATGGGCAAGGACGTGTGCACGCCTGTGCTTTGCCGTCCTATGTTATAAACAGCTGTTCCAAAGGCATAAACAAGTTTAGGGTAGACTCTTTAAACGCCTCCTACTCACTACAGTCAAGAAGTCCAGCGGTGTCCCGATATAGAGGTCCCAGTGCAATGTGTCCAGAATAGCCAGCTCCATCCTCAGCAGCTCATTCGGGGAATAGTCAGAGCCATAGTGCTTTATAAAGTCGTTTACTTGTGGAATTACCTGTAAAAAGAAAATAAAGAGGCCAAAGCCCTACATCACGTCATAGTAGCTTTGTTTTCTTATCCATGGGGACTGGGCATTCATGACCTTGGTGTTGTCTTCCTGTGACCCACCACAGAAAATGCTTCTGAAAGAAATACTAAACCAGAGCTTGGCTATCCGTCAAATCCTCAGGTAGTTATGTAGTGAACATTACATGATCCCCCTCTGAAACCAGGTCTTGATCTGCCAACTGCATGCTAGCTCATACCCAAGGGTGCTTTGGAGGCTAGGGCTGTGCCATCTCTCCTATTCAGCTGCAAAAACTCACCCCAAGCTTTCCAGGAGCCATCGGTTCTGCCCATCCCTATTCCTGATCCCTACCATGGGTACTGGGTATAGAGAGAAAACTATGCTTTTGATCTTCCTAGTCTTCACCAGACAGACACATTGATAAAACCTCCTATGGGTTTTTCAGCATCACAAACTTTAAACACATTTCCTGCAATCTTGATTGAAGGTGGTTCAGTTCTGGAAAAACTATGGTTTTCCTCACGGAGGGACTAATAAGACTTGTCTATGAGTAAACATTCAAGTACCAGGTACATTGAAGGCTTGGTCCTACATTTTTAGATGACAGAAATATTACTATATCACTTGATTTTTAGTTGGAGGAAAGCAACTTGGGGACCAATTCTATTCTAATAAACAGGAGTTTAAAACATTTTTACTGAAGATTTGGAACTGGACACACAACTTCTTCCCTGCCTCCTCAGACCCAGAGATCAGCTAAAGGTGACCCTGTGGCAATAGCAGTGATTTCACCATCCCCAAAATGGGAGAAATTGGAGGGAGGTAGGAAAGTTTGGGAAGGGTATTAGGAGATGATCTCCTCCTCAACAGATGTCACAGTGAAATTCAGCCATCCAGGCATGCCTGAAGCGCTCAAGGGGCCTTGTACTTTACCCCCAGCACATGCCTCCTGTCCATCTCAGAGAGAGTTCCCAGAGTTTCCAAGGACCAGCTTCATTGACACAGCCAAGTCCTCAAGCCTCAAGCAGCTTTTTTAGACATAATTGCTTGGGGGCTGATGTTATGCCACACGGTTTGAGAGGCCTTGCTCAACAGCGGATGTCTCTGTTTAGCCCTCAACCAGTGAGGCCAGATGTATCTGGCAAGAGTTCAGGTCTCTAGGTTTGATGGGCCAGGACAGTTCAGCTCTAATTGTCCATTTGTGGGTTCTCAGAGTCTGACAAGCCGATAGAAGGGACAGCAGAGATGCTGGCGAGTTAGTGACCACCACACCTAAGGGCACAGATCTGTCGGGAAACCAGAGTGCTCCAATGTTATACCACTATACCTCAAACGCAGCCCAGTGTGGACTTCCAAGGATGCGTACCTCATTTTCTTCATTAAGTTTTGCAGCAAGCCTCAAGGAAGCAATTGCGGCACAATGCAGGTATTTCTCTTTTACCTGCAATATGGAACAAACACATTTGAGCAGAATATGAATGCCAGAAACAAACTGAAAAGCATCTGTTTGTTTTCTTTTTTCTTCTTTTCTGAGTTGGAGTCTCACTCTTACCCAGGCTGGAGTGCAGTGGCGTAGCTGGGGCTACAGGCACGGGCCACCATGCCTGGCTAATTTTTGTATTTTTAGTAGAGACAGGGTTTCACCATGTTGGCCAGGCTGGTCTCGAACTCCTAACCTCAGATGATCCATCTGCCTTGACCTCCCAAAGTGCTGAGATTACAGGCATGAGCCACCGTGCCCAGCCGTTTGTTTTAATGAGCTTTTTCCCATTTTCAAAAGGCTCCATTTCTCCACCAAGATAGAATGTTAGTGTCATTTTTAGATCTGACCAGTGAAGATGCTCCTGATTTCAGAACTGCAGATGACTGGGCAGTATTCCTTCATTTCTGGACTGGAGGTGGGAAATATGGCACCTTCTCAAGGAACCCAGTCTCATCCTAGCCTCAAGCAGCCCTGGACAAGTCGGGACAAGCACATCCTACCTCATCACACAGAAAGTCCTTTCCCAGCTAGGTCGTCTGACACTCCCCAAGTCCAACCCTGATGACCACATGACCCTGAGACAGCCTGTGTAGGAAGTGGAGAGTTCCCAACACCAGCTCTATCCCTCGGAGCAAGTTTGTTTATACACCTTGGTTTGAGCATCTGGAACCCCTCACCTCTCAAGCAGGAATGGGGGGCAAAGGTTAGTTCCTTCTCTCACCATCTGCCACCGTCCCTCAGAGGCCTCCCTACCTTCACCGAAATCAGGAGGCGGCTGAAGATGGTGAGGGCCAGGTTAAACGTGGACCAGGAGAAGTACAAGTTGTTCTGAAGCCGCAGAAGCCACAGCACGACTTCCTCAAAGGCGTTGCAGATTTCATTCTGCTAGGAAGAAGCGTAGGGGGCGAGGAAGGTCGCTGGCAGCCACTCCTGGTCCCCCAGCAGCAGGAGCCTCCTGCTTGCGGTGGGGGGTGGGAAGGAGTAGTGAGAAGTCCCTTCCCCTGCAGGCCCGCTGGGAGTAAGGGCCCCCTTGGCGCAGCGACTCACCCATCACCCCCACATCGCGCGCCCGCTTTTTGCCCTAGGCCGAGTTCCTCGATTCAAACAGGCCCTCTTCCGAAGTCCCTGCTAGCAAGACGCCCTCCCAGAGAGAAGCCGGTGGATCCAGCCTCGTGCCTCTCGTGAGAGGCCACACCTGGGGAAGGGCTCGGCTTCCAGGTGCAGAGCATCGAAGCGCGGGTGCAGGTGGAGCCTATCCGCCTCCCGTGCGCGCGAGACGGGCCCAGAGGCAGGGAAGGGTACCTGGGGTTTGCCGCCCTGCCACAGGCGCGCCTCGCGGTCCTGGGCCAGCTTCAAGTAGCGGAGCAGCTGGCACTCGTCCAGGATGCCTTCCAGGTTGCGCGGTTTGAGGGACTGTGGATCGGGCTGCGGAGCCCGCGCTGGGGCGTCGGCGGGGACCGGGTCTGCGGTTCGCCCAGCCGGCTCCGTTCCGAGCCGGGGCCCCAGGAGCACTGTCGCGGACGGCGCTGAAAGAGAGGAGGCTCCGGGCTGGTGGGTCCCAGGGCACCTGCTCTGGGTGTTCGGGGGCAGAGGGGCCTGCCCCGGAGACGGCGGGAGAGGAAAGCCCAGGGCTGCTTCCTCCAGACTCGCCCCGGGACGCCTGCCTGAGCTCTGGACCGCGCTGACCTCCGAGCTCGACGGCTGCGGCGGGAGCCGCCCGCCCGAGGCCATGGTGTGAACAGGTTGCTAGATACAAGTCGCCGCTTAACTCGGTATTTTATAGCCCAGCGCCCGGAACACTGCAGCTGGGGCAGCCGCCCGGGGAGGCAGGGGGCAGGCTCGGCGGGCCCCACCCCCCGCGCTCGCTGTGGAGCTGCCCCTGGCGCACCTGGCCGCGCCTCCCGGGCACTCGCTCCGCGGGTAGGCGGCACGCACCCAGGACGCAACCGGACGGGGCGCGCACAGGCGAGTGACGGATCCCTGGCTTTCCCTCCATCCCGGCTGCTGCCTACCGAACACCTCTTCCCCCTGCCGGCCGCGCTTCTTGCGCAGAGCCCCCAGCCAGGGGTTGGGCGGCTGGAGATTACGCCTGCCTTGGGCCAGGACTGCTGGCTACAGACCCTGGGTCTTAGTTCACAGTACACACTTAGGGACACAAGACCAGGTAAACGAGCAGCGAGAGCGCCCTCCTCAGATAGGCTTGAAATGGAATTCCAGACGCCCTGTGTGACCTCAGGCATATGTCGTGACCTCTCAGAGCCTCGGCTACCTCTTCTCCAAAAAATAGTGTTACTACCTCTCTCACAAGGTGATTCCTTCATTCATATATGTATTACATATGTTTGTGTATCTATACATACATGTATAGCTATAAACCTGTAATACATAAGGAAAATCATACAAATCACACACACACATTTTAGGGGTGGGTCTTGCTATTTCCCAGGCTGGAGTGCAGTGGCTATTCTCAGTTGTAATCACAGCACACTACAACCTCAAACTCCTGGACTCGAGTTACCCTTAACCTCAGCCTCCCAGGTAGCTGAAACTTACAGGCGCACACCACCATGCCTGGCTCCTGTTATATTTTGTTTTAAAAATTCATTACATGAAATAAATATTAAAAATATATGGGAATACCAGAAGGACAGGAAAGAGAGGAACAGAGAAAATATTTGAAACAATAATGACTGAGAGTGAATATTCCCAAATTAATGCCAAATGCCAAACCACAGCTCTAGGAAGCTCTGAGAACATTAAACAAGATAAATACCAAGAACTATACCTAGACATTCCTATTTAAACTGTAGAAAATCAAAAGAAACTATCAACAGAGTATGCAGGCAACCTACAGAATGGAAGAAAAATGGCAAACTACACATCCGACAAAGGTCTTTTTTTTTTTTTTTTTTTTTTTTTTTTTTTTTTTTTTTTTTTTTTTTTTTTTTTT